CCAGACACTCTGTGGGAGAAAGACGAGGCTTTCTACACCCAGAGAGAGTTACAGTCTTGGAAAACCACTGAAGCCACTCTACCCTGTCCTAGACTGTCTCCATGAATCGGAATCAACTCCGTGGCAATGCGTTTGGTTTGGGTTGGTTACTCGACTCTAAGTAGAGTAAGTACTTATAGAAATCTAACTGGATATAAGAATCTTGAGCTCAAAGGGGAAGTCTAGGCTGAAGATATAAATTTGGTGTACTCTGTTCTTGGTCTGGCAGCTCTGCTGAAACCTGTTCCCTTTGGGTGGCCCTGCTGGTATCTGAAATGCCAGTGACACAGCTTCCAGCATCACAGCAACATAAAGCTTCCCCAGTATGACAAACTGACAGACAAGTGGTGGTGGTGTAGAATATAAACGATGTTTAAAATCGAGACTTCAATGAGATCAGCAAGCTGAATCACAGAGTTTCTCTTCTGATGTTTCCAAAATAACTGGTTGATCCAGAAAATAATTGCCACTCACATTTCATGAGTGAGAAAATAACTAGTGCTGAAAAACAAACTTGATTTTATCAATATTCAAAGTGTAAATGCACATAGCTGTGTTTTCTGGGGACAAGACAACTAGTGATCGATTTGAACTGCTTAAAAAGCAGGCGGTATCCCAAAGTCTCTAAAAGAAAGTTCAAAATTAAAAAAATAATAATCACAAATAGCTTCTTTGGACCTGCTATGAGTTCAGCTGAAATACACACACACACATAAAACCACTTAGAACCCAGAATATTAGCTATTTTCGTAATATAATATTTTCTTTTAAAGCTAAGAAATGATACCAATTAAAAACAAAAGCCAAACTCACTGCACTGAGCAGAATCTGACTCATAGGGACTCTGTAAGCCAGTGCAAGATTGCTCAACAGCGCTTCTGAGACCGTAAATCTCTATGGGAGCAGAGAGCTACCTGTTTCCCCAAAGAGTAGCTAATGGATTTAAACCACTGGCCTACTATTAGCAGCCACCACTTAACCCACTGTGCCACCAGAGGTTTTTGCTGCCACCAAACAGATAGTTCAATGAAAAATGTCACCTGCTTCCTATCACGGTCATTCTGGACGAAGGGCCACATAATGATTATGAAATAATTATCTGTGTTTCACATGATAAGCCTAACAGAGCAAGATGATATTAACAGTATGTACTAAGAAAAGGCTTGCTCAGTTCTCTCATGGCAGTTAGAGCTCATCCAGCACAATGTGTGCTGCCGGCCGGCAAGAAGACCCGGTACAGACTTCACCGGACCATGACGTTCTGGAGCAGGAGGAGTCTCAGAAACAATGTCCTCCACACAACACCACTGCCAGATACTGGATTTCTCTGTGCTCTGTCACCAGTTTTCCCCATTGCATAGTAACTTTTTACATGTTCAATACACAAATGTATGCTCTCATAGAAAGAATAAGGTGGATCCAGGAATTCTCATACACTATCTGAGTATTAACTTTTCTCACTTCATTGAGAAAACTTTCAAAAAATTGCCTATAATAACATTTAATGTCAAGATGTAATGTGAGCTAGATGAAAAATAATAATGATAATGATAAAGTTACCCTACTTTGATATCCTCAGAAGCAAGGGCGGTGGGACTTTGGACATATTGTAAGAAGGGACCAGTCCCTGCAGAAGGGCACGACGCCAGGTCAAGGAGAGGCGCGTGGCTCAGCAGTAGGTTCCAGCACAGACGGCAGGGACTGTCCGATGGCACCTGGCTCGGCAGTGTTTTATTCTGATGGGACAGGGTTGCTAGGTGAGTCGGAACCCTCTCAACGGCACTTCACAACAACCTCCTTCTCATCTCTAATGTTTACATCACGATCAACAGCCAGTGGCCTAGTTTCTTTGTAGGAGACACCTGTATGACTGTTAACATTGTGATTATAATAATATTGCTATAATTTACCCAATACCTGAAAATATGGTAAGCACTAAGCTGATTACTATGATCAGAGGTAACACTGGAGCAAGGACACAGACTTATTACGATAATCAAGAACTGGTAATGTAGAAACATACCAAACATGTGAACTATCCCGACATTTGTATACACTGCTAGGGATCTAATCAATTAGTAGGCAGACTGAAGTCCCTAGCCGGAACTCACCCAGAGGTGCCTCTGAAGAGAGACGGGCGTGCTACCTGCTTCTGAAAGTCAGTCTGGACTGGAAAGCTGTGGAGCAGAGTCTACTCTAAGCATTACGGGATCGCCAGGAGTCAGTTCAAGTTAACGCACAGCAGCCAACAACAAAAGAGCAGACGTGGTCAGGGCTAAGAAATGTTTATACCTTTAACCCTATCGTGACCTGACCTTTTCATTTTCTTCCTTAACCCATAAGAAGACTACGTGTTCCAGTCAACTTTTAATTTAAAAAGAGTAATGCGACTGATTTATGGCCAATAAACTGTGGTGAAATGGATGTAGGCATCTTATCAAAGAAAACTAGGAAAATGTAGAACAAGACTCAAAAGCATGCAAGAAACTAGGCTTGCTGGTTGGATGGAAACCATGGTGATGTCACCCTGAACCGATCTCACCCCTGCAGTTCAATCTTCAGTCAAACGAATAAGCAAGTCTCTCAGGGGAACAACGGCACTCGGGAGGTCCGCACCCCTTAGAATAATCGACCATTTGGAATTAGTGGGGCAGCATTTGCCCAAACACATGTTCAGCAAGGCTAGGGAGGAAGGAGGACTGGAGATAGATGGAAAGCACAGAGGGGGAGGGAAGGGCGAAGGTACGTTGAGGGCCTGCTGCAAAGAATGAGACGGAACGGAAGGTATGTGAATCACTGCATGTCACACTGATGATCTGCTTGGTAAACTTTCACCCAGTTTGCAATAAGAATTTAAAAAAATCAAAAATCTCCCACAACCCTCTCCTGCCATGTCACATGCCATGTCAATCCGAGTCTCCTCCCAGAGAAGAGCTGCCAAGGTCAGCCCCTTGCCTTGGACTTAGTGGTAAGAGGTGGATTCTTGAAGCCACTGCAGTTTGGGGTGTTTGCTACTGTGATGTGAATCATTCAGGTCAGTATAAATGTTTTCAAGTGAAACAAAGTCACATAGGGTGAGAGAATTTTAAGTCATTTTTTCCCACCTTTAAAAACTATTTTAATGCTACTTACTATGAAGGAGTTTCTACGTTATAAATTTTCTCCTTTTTACACTTCTACAATGACTTTTTGTTAAGGAGCATATACCATATTTTCCTCATATAATGTGTCCACACAAATGCTACACATATATACATAGCACACACAGCATTCAGAGGAAACTAGTGTGAGAGAGGTTGGTGCAGTTTGTAAAATTCATATAATATACACATTTTTAGGTAAAGATAATATACTAGCATTCTAATCTTTTAAGTTATTAAATAACTACTGCTTTATTTTTTTAAATAATTGAACCGAAAAAGATAAAATACCACTTAAAATGTTCATAGTTTTTGCCACATCACAATTCAAGTAAGTCCTCAGTCTCTCTTAAACTCTTCACGGGAGTAGATAGCCCCGTCTTTCTCCTGAGGAGTGGTTTTGAACTGCTGACCTTGTTAAAGGTCCAACGCTTTACCTACTACACCACCAGGGCACTCCCCTTTGTTACTTCGACTAGATCTCCAATCACATCGGACAGAGTGGTAGCACATTATCTCACTCAATCCTCACAACAATCTGTCTTGCCTATTTCATCAGACATCATTGTTTCTACAGCACACATGGGACTTTAAAGTGAGATTTAAATGTCATAATCTTTGTCCAAAGTCAACCCAGCACCTGAGCTAGACCATGTACCAATACTGGTTTTTTTTTTTATCCAATACTGTTTTTTTTATCGAAACCCAATGTCCCTGCCAGTGCAACATGTATCCTGTCCTGCACCACCCAATGTCAAAAAAACAAAAACCACTCACTGCCATCAAGTCCATGCTAACTCATGGTGACAGGGCAGCACTGCCCCTGTGGGTTTCCGAGACTGAAACTCTTTATGGGAGTAGATAGCCTCAACTTTATCCTGAGGAGAGATTAGTGGTTTTGAACTGCTGACTTTGTGGTTTAGTAGCCCAATAGATAACTATTACGACAGCGGTTCTCAACCTGTGGGTCTCAACCCCTTTGGGAGTCAAATGACCCTTTCACAGGGGTCACCCGATTCATAAAAGTAGCAAAAATATAGTTATGAAGTAGCAGCAAAAATAATTTTATGGTTGGGGGGGTCACCTTCTCTAAGTCAACTAATTATATTAGAGTGCCTTTCACCTGATACAAATTCAAATATATTTTTGTGATTTGCAAGCTACCGTATACACTCGATATAAGCTGAGCTTTTCAGCACACTTTTAATGCCTTTTTTGTGGTAAAATTAGGTGCCTGGGCTGATATTCGGGTCGGCTTATAATGGAGTATATACGGAATTTGGTCTACTTGTAGAACTTCCACTGACAGCAACGCCTGTGGCACAATACTTGGAAAGTGAATTCTACAAAAACACAGCGCTGTTCTAAAAATGACTGCAAACACAAAGAATTACAGATATTCTACCGAATTATAGAAGGCAGTGACATCTGGATAAAGGTACAATTAAGGCAGACTCAGATCGTCTGTCTGGGACGCTAAGCCCTGTCTGTTATAAAGGTCTCTGCAGCTAACAGACAAAAAAGGGAAAAGCAAGCGTATCAGTGTCAGGCTCGCTCACTGAGAGATCCATGGATGAGCCCTGTTTCTTTCACATTCGTAGCAACTACTCAGAGGATCCTTTCATACAGCATGACAGCTGAGCTCGCCTATAAGTAATTATCAGAGGTACAGAGGCTCACTTGAGGGGCAGAAAAACATAAAAGAAATGTGGCAATCTGTGGGTACCAAGTTCACAGCCTCCCTTACCTTTGTATGTCTTCTCTGTGTTACACAGGTGAAGGGTGAAGTAGGTGTCAAGGAGCTGATAACCATTCCTATTAACAACATTCCGGGCAGCAATGTTCCGAAGATGCCGAAGACGCCGCTGGGGAAAAAAGAGAGGAAAAGAGCGAGAGCTATTCCACCTTTTCCTCCTTTAAATGTTCTGAAAGTCACAACTCAAAGTAAAATCCAATAATTGGTGCCAGTCATTCATCACTTGAACCAGAGATCTTAACCCAGTTTCTTCTTTATGTCTCAGTAGCCCCTCTGTCAAACAGGAATTGCACCTACCCTATCTCAGGTACTTCCTGAGAGAGAGATGAAGCTGTTTGCTCCCATAAAAATTTACGGTCTTCCCAGGAGGAAAGTCAAGGGAAATAGAGGAAAGAGCTGGGAGG